TTTTAGTGGATACGCAAACTGAAAATCAAAATGAAAACTATAGAAATTAACATTTAAGGAAGTTGGACCTGAGGTTATAGTGAGAACGACATCGTATTGATAATCTCCGATAAAACCAGGGACCGTTGCATTAAGATTGTAATCGCCAGTGCGTATGCCGTCGATGAGAAAGTAGCCATTTTCGTCTGCTGTCGTCCAGAATTGATAGTTCTAATAAGAAGCAGATAGAACATATAGGCCAAGTTATGACATTTCTCTCAGTTTTAATTGAAAATCTACTAACTAGCGTATACATATATATAACAAGTCAAACTGTTCGGCAAGAAGAAAATATTTCTATATAAACATGTAGATATAAAAACTTATAACACCAAGCACAATGCAACCGCAACAAAATAGTTTAGTCCACCCACTTAAAAACGTTTCAATCACCTTGCATTCTCTTTGCCACGATCCAACGTCTCCTTGCGGGGCTAACCCAACATATGCACTCTGTGCTGATATGTAGTCATCGCTGATATATCTAGATATTGACATCAAAATAACATTGATATACTTATAATTAGTTTGAAAATATAAAAGAACTATAAGAAGTTTATTCCCTCTAGAATTTGAGAAATTTGTTTTACTAAAGTTCATATTGAACTTCTGTAATATTGAAATTTTTTAAATAAACTATATTGACTCCCTCATATAATAAATCTGTATAGTTTGCCGTATTAAAAAAAAAATTGAAAGCTTGCTCCGCCATTGTATACGCTTACCTGTCTCGAATAAGTAGTCTACCACTAACACTACCCCGTTGGTGTGACTTGGGAAAATCCTCAGATGCTGGGAAACTGTAGGGCCAGCATTGGACTTCCATCATCATCTGCAACAGAAGTAAAGTTAGATGCATACGTATATATGGTCACCATCTATGATAAAGTACCTATATACTTTGCAAGAAATTAAATTAAAGAAAATGTGGTTATTAATTAGCAATCTGTTAAAAACCTGTGATTTAGCATCCTCCCATAACGAAAGCGGGTCATCTCCTTCATATGCAGAATTAACATACATAAAAACTGGCCCAAAAACTTTCTTCCATTGCTCACCCGCTGCAAATTTTGGCACCAAATCCTCTCCAGAATAATGAGCGCTTAGAAACATCTGATTGTATCATTCATGTTTGAACAATATATAGGTTAAAACTTCTGTATAATAAATTTATAGAATTAGAACATTTAATCCAAAAAATTAAGTAGCAATGGATCAAGATTTTACTTTTTCAACGTGGGATAATATTACACTTTTGGTTTGTTTGGCTCTGTTTCTGGAAAGGATAAAAATGCTTTCTGACAACTAAAAGTTTTTTCAAAAGTATGTTTAGCATAAAAATAATAAATTAAAAGTGCTTATGGGTGGAGAAGCAATAGCAAGCTTCTTTGTCAGAAATCACTTTCAAGTACATTTTTAGGAAACACTTTGACTTGTAATAAAATTTTTGATTTTCTTCTAGTAGAAACACTTGTAAAAATAGTGCTTATAAATAGAAGTCCTTTATACAAAAGCAGTCTCAAACGGGATTAGAAGTCAACTTACCGCAAGAGTGGTGGGGCCAACATGGGAGGTAAGGTTCTGTTTAAAGGGTCCACCAGATCGGAACTCATTGCTTGGTGTAATTTGCCAGAATCCTACTGGTGGCTCAGTGCATATCCAACCATGTACTTTATTATCCTTGTTGTCGCATGAGTATTGGTACTTGTCATCCACCTGATTAAGTAGTATCCAGGGCAATTAGTTAGATAAGATTTTTCTTATTATATGTAGAGATTCATATATAATTTCTTGATGAGATAGGAAATATCAGTTACTTCTCCTTTGAGCTCTGGCTCCACAGGATTGACAAGAAGAACTGCCTCTGGGAAGGCTAGGGCTTGGCCTCTCGACGGTAAACGGTCATCAGGCAATGGCATGTTTCTTTGCCTATTGTCTGCCATGGCCATATAGTGAAACCTACTTGTCCAAAAATCCACATACATCATGGGTTCCACCACATAAAAGACAGGGCTCTATAGCATTGTCCCTGACTAAATTGTTCATGTTTGCTTAAAGTAGGCACAAATTTTAATGAAAATTTTGTATGGGGATGTTCTTGATGCATGGCAGTATTGAGTGACACAACAACCCAGTTTAAAAAATAATATATATAAATGTTTGTATTTACTTTAGTCATATGTGATCTTTTAACTAATTTGTTCTATCATTCAACACTGTCACGTGATAAGAACATCCTACACAATTTTTTTCTTTTCAAAATCCACAAATACAGAGCTTATTTGACTTTGAATATTGACCTACAAATCCAAGACTCCTGTATGTGTTTTTTTGTTGTTTTTGAAAGCCAAAAGATTTATAAGGTAGATGTTGGATTTGTGAAGTGAAACTTACTATATTTTCAACCATATTTTCCAAATCACCCCAAGTAAAGTTTTAAGAAAGAGCTATCATGAAAGGTTTTTGTTTTTGGTTTTAAATTCATCTCATTTTGAAGGGATTTGCGTACTTGTCTTTCCTGAGTTTGAACGCAATTCTGGTTTCTCCAAGCTGGAAAGCAGGCCATTCCCTCAAGTGCTCGTAAATGGCGTAGGAGTAGAAGCCTGAGGAACCTCGAAGCATAATGAACCTATAATTTACTACTTGTGATTAATAATTAATCAACAGATTATTTTCAAGTAATATTCAATTAGAGATATAAAGATACATTAGCATTAATTTGAGCAAAGACCTTTTATCAATATTTAAGGGTACGAGCTTGCCCTCTTGGGAGGGATCCCAGGCTCTTGTGAAAGAGAGCTCAACTTGTTCTTCACTTTCCATTATAACCGTAAAACTTGTTCCTTTTATCCTGCATCAAAATTAATACTTTGAAAACAAGAAACAATTATATTATACTATGTTCCTTTGCCAGTGGGTATATAACTCAGTTAGTTGAGTTCTTCCACCTCCACTCATGTGGGCAGCGGTTCGAAGTCCCCAGCACCCAATGAATATTTGTGTAAACCCCCCTCCCCCAATCGCTTATACTAAAAACAAGACTATAAATTTTTATAATAAAAAATAGGGCAGCAATATTGGGACTTACACATCAAATATTCCTGTTGTTCCAGTAGTGGCTGAACTCCAAACAAGGTCCCAGTACCTACATGTTCCATCAATTCGAAATTAGAAATGAATCATTACAAAATAAATAAATAAATAAAAGATGTCAAATTTTTTTTCCTAAGTTGTAACTGATTTTGTCATGCAATACCCTCTGTTAATTTCCTCATTACGAATCTCCAGCAAGTTATCGATGCCATTGAATCGAATTCCAGTGACTATTCCGTCTGGGTTTGATAATGTCACTTGGACAATCCCATTATCCATCATCACCTGCATTTATAATAATATAAAGTCTCATTAATTAATTAAACCACCCAACTAGTCAAAAATAAATAAATCATACATGCACATTTTATCAAATTAATATATATATATATATATATGAACATTAATTGAATTATTACATGGCGATCTTGAATGAGTAATTTCACCCCAATAGGTGGCATGATGAGGTTGCTAATTTCAGAACTCCAATTGAATTTCTGAAAGAAAAAACAAAAGAAACAATAATAATGTAGGGAAAAGAAAAAAAAAAGAAGAAGCAAGATTATCTAAGAGAGCTTGATGACTATTTGTGAGAGAAGCTTTGCATTCAATCATACCTCTCTGCAAGCTGCAAAGGCAAAATGTAAAGGCTTATTAGAATTGCATTCAGCATTATATACAAAGTGTTTGTTGGAGTAGAAAGAAAGCAATCCTTTTTTTTCTTCCCATCTTTCTCTTCTGTAATGTCGTTACTTAGTCGGCACATTGTTTTGTTTGGTAGGCGTGCAAGAGTCGTTATGCTTCGCATGCCAGCCGCAAATATTATATATTTGAGCACTTTTCTTTTATACAAGCGATATTAAAGAAGGGAGGTTTTCTTACACACACTGTCAAGCTGCCATGAAAACTCGAACTTGAGACCTAGTCTGCAAGTTAAGGCTATTTGAGTACACTTGAGACATGTTTCCACTGGGATAGACCTTACTTTTTGGTGTTAAAAAATTTATAAGGTTAGGATTTTGGGATCAAAAGAAAAACTTCCAACATTTTTGAGCTTTTACATCTCATAAAATCTGGAGGTCTGAAATAAAGGTGAAGTGGAGGTTGTTTTATCATCAAGTGTCTAACAAAGTGGAGCGTAATTGTCAAGAGACTACTACATTAGAAAATTTCTGTATCCGCCGCTGATACATCCATGGTTAAATTATTTGACATATTATATTATTAAATTGTTAATCTAGATATTACACATTTAAATAAGAATCTGCATCATCACTTGCTTGCTATTGAACTTTTACAATCTGGCAACATTAAACTTCTGAACACATAGCATATCAGGACCTATGAGTTTTGATATCCACTACAATTTATTTCTTGTTGATAAACCAAATCCAGCCAATCAAGTTGACAAATGGTGACCAAAATTAGAATTACTTGGCTGGATTGTCAATCCACAACAGAGCAACCAATAAAGCCTTCTTAGGCTAAAATGCAAGTCAAGCCGCCCGTCCAGGTCCATGTCCACTTTGATTCTAACAACCAATTAAACTTACTTTGGGTTTTAAAGAACTAATGAATTGATGTCCAAGTTATATCAGTGCGCAATACAGATTATTGTATACGCCAGACAAAGTGGGCACTTCACATGTTTTCAACTCTTTCTTCTCTCTCTACATTTCTCTCCTCTGTGTTTCTAAAAAGAAAACAGGAAGTAAAGACCAACAAATAATTTGGTTGTGAAACTAGTCTCCAAGTACTGGGATCTAGGGTCCATGAGCATTGAGAGAGAGAGAGAGATTTGATTGTATAACATAGCATTTTCTTTTCTTTTTCTACTATAAATACATATTAGATATAATAGGATTCAATTGTGTATATGTATATGTACATATACATTATTATATACAAACATATGAATTCCATACTAAGATGAACTCGAACCACAAGATGGGGGACCTTCAAATCGAATATAATCATACATGAGTCCTTGGAAAGGACTGGTGCACCTTGGTTGTTTGAAGAAGAAAGTATTAGTCCCGTCAACGAGCTGAGCCCCTGGTACATTCACGTTATACAGCCAGTAAATCCCATGAATTCCGTGTCTTGCAACCGAGTTATCCCTCCCTATCAATCCACTTGTAAACAGAGGTCGCCTCGAATTTGGATCGTTAATCCGAACCTTAAAAATGAAACGGATAAAGAAATTAGTATGATTTATAATCTACTAATGAACAGATCATTATCTTACCTGCAATTCAGCAAGAGTTGCAGATGCAATCGCCACTCGTAGTTTATAGGTGCTGTTCCTATCCACATTTCTTAGTTCAAACTTAATTTGCCATGTTGTTCCTTCATGTCCGTTCTCTTTTTGCCTACAGAACACAAGAACTTTAAGCAGCAGGTAATCAACAACACAGTACCATTGTCATTACATTACAGTTTTCACAACAGCCATTATTCAAAAGAAGTGCACCTGGGAACCTGAGCAAAGAACCAATCTTTAGCATAATCACTAACACCAACAATGTACACCAAGTCCTCATGAGGATATAACTCAGCATATCTGTTCCACAGCCCATATTGTCTGAACCTGCAGAAGGATAAGATCAAGGTTTCACATCAAAAAATTAATACCAAACTCTTAATCATTAACATGGGTCCTTAATTTGGCTGGTGAATCATTTAGAAGTAGCAAAGCGACATTTAAGATGATACAAAACAAGTTTCTACATTTGCATGTTCAGAGAAGAGAATGCTAGTTTTGATCACACAATAATCAACTTTCTGAAATTGCAATAAGATAGCTAACCTGTCAGGATGATTAACAAACAATTTGTTAATATGATTTGGATCAGGATCAGGAACATAAAACTCTGCAGCAGAACGATCCGGAATGCCTATTTCCCACAATGTTGGCCCATCTCTTGGAGGTTCAAACACAAGATCACCCATTTCAATAAAAGAACCTGTATCACAAGTAATGAAACAAAATTTTGCATTAAAATTCCCCTTGTATCTCGCACAAAATATTTATAAAACAACTGACTTCAGAATTCAGAAAGTCCCAGAAGTTGACAAAACACTACCTGAGGTTATGTTAATGACAGCATCATGCCGATAATCTCCAATAAAACCAGGTACCCATGCATAAAGATTATATGTGCCAGTACGTATGTTGCTAATCGAAAAATAGCCACGGTCATCTGCCCTCGTCCAGAACTGATAGTCCTAAGAAATGTAATAACTATCCATAAGGGTGTGTTTAGACATAATTTATAGGATGCGTATTCTGTTTTGGTACATGATATATTAAGGTTACTTACCATTCTGATTACTTCATATAGTAGTTTTTGGGTATTCCATAGAATAGATCACTTCAAAATTTTGCTGACACAAGATTATATGCACTACTATGGTATCTTCCATTCATAAAAAACCATGTTTAAACATGAGAGACAAAGATCGATTATAACACCTTTATCACAATGAATTGCTAATCTTGTTATGCTCATCAGAAACCATGAGTTTTGTTATTTCCAGTTAAGCCTTGAAAGCCAAGAAACAAAAATCCTGGAAAAGTAAATAAAACTTGACCTCTTGCAGGTTCAATAATCTATGGCCGGACACGAGGTTGACTGAAAAATTCCAGATTATAATTAACACAGAAACACAAATGTACGATAATTTCTCAGTGCTCTCTGACGTTTAATGATGGCAAGCTATAGTTATTGTTCATGTGATGCTAAAATTTCACACCATAGTAAACATAAAATGCTGGTGTTAGAATATCCTATTAGATAACTAACACAATTCTCAATTAAAAAAACCAATTTTCTTTGACATAGAATATAACTTATCAGCAAGTGTTGTGCATCCCAAAATGGAAAGTCACCTTGCATTCTCTTTGCCATGATCCTACATCTCCTGGTGGGGCCAGACCAACATACGCACCATTTGCTGGTATGAGTTCTTCACAAATATACCTGGCATCGCAATTACAAAGACTTTAAACATATGTATGCATAGTGGGGAAATTTTTTTAGAGAAAAGAAAGGTACCCGACAACAATAAGTTTTTTCTTTTTCTTTTTAGCAATGAGAAAATGAATTTGATACTTGGAAATTCATGCACTCATATCAATTAATTGCTTATTATCAACTTCGTTTTTCAAATACTTTCAGAAAAGAAGTTAATAGATATGAATATAAACTTATAACCCTTATACACGTCATCCACATCCATACTGAGACAAAAAAGAAATTAGTAACTACACCCCCGCCCCCAAAAAAAAAGACAAAAACAGTACGCACAAGTTTATCTCCGTACTAACCTGTCCAAAACAAGTAGTCTACCACTCACATTACCCCGTTGATCCGACTTTTGGAAATCCTCAGAAGCTGGGAAACTATATGGCCAGCTTTGTACTTCTGTCATCATCTGAACATCATTTTCAATCACCATTTTCTGATTAAAAGCTTGCTTTCCAACATTGTCCATTTTTAGAATGAAAGAAGAAACAGGTTTTTGTGTGTGTTTTGTTTACGACAAACCTGTATTTTAGCATCCTCCCATAGCCAAAATGGATCATCTTTAATTGCAGAAGAATTAAGATAGATAAAAACAGGGCCAAAAACCTTCTTCCATGGTTCACCGCCTCTAAATTTTGGCACCAGATCTTGTCCCGCATAATGACCACTCAGAAACATCTGATGACACCAATAGAAGGGTCATAATCAGAGCTAATGTGACATATTTATACTAACATCTCTAATAAGCAGGCCACCGATAAATTTTCATAATGACTACTATTCTAAAAATAATCACATACAGCAAGAGTGGTAGGGCCGACATGTGAGGTTAGGTTCTGTTTGTGAGGTCCACCCGATCGGAATTCATCACTGGGTGTGATCTGCCAGAACCCAACTGGTGGGTTGGTGCATATCCACCCATGAACCTTATTATCCTTGTTCTCACATGAGTATTGATACTTGTCATCCACCTGCAGCTCAAGGATTTATGATAAAAGAATCAAAACATAACACAAACCTGCATATAACAAAAATACGACGAAAGGAAGGCACTCTACTCTCCTCCACAGAAGTTAGAATAAAATTTTCATTTTGGTATGTGTAAGGCATTCAAGTTCACTACTTTAGTTTATAAAGGTCATGATCCACTAACTGGTGGCTTTCACCAAGAAAACCAATGATAAAAATAAAATACGTCGAAGAAAATCTTTGAAAAATTGGCTTAGGAATGCTCCACCCCAAGCTCACACAAAAAGAAACTGTAAAATAATAAAAGTGGGAAAGTTGTGACAAAATACCTCTCCAGCAAGCTCTTTCATCTTGGGATTTTGAAGTAGGACCGCTTCTGGGTAGGCCAGTGTTTGGCATCTTCCTGGTAACCGGTCATCAGGTAGGGGCATGTACCTTTGCCTGTTGTCTGATACAGCCATGTATTGGAACCTATCCACCCAAATTGTACATTGTTAATTCATATGCATGCTAAAATACTAAAGAGGATGTATACACATAATTATATCAGTAATTTGGGGGGGGAGAGAGAGAGAGACAGAGGCAGAGAGGGACAGAGACAGAGAAGAGATTGAAAGAGATAGAAACAGAAGCTTAGGGAGAAGAAGTGGAACAAGATGGAGAAAAGAAATTAGGATAAACTCAATAACCTTTTCTCTGTCTATACACTACAAGTTTAAAATAGTAGTACAAAAAGGCCTCTTCATATAGGCAGTCTCAATTCAGACCAAAAAAAAGTATAGGCAGTCTCAATAAATATATTGCAACAATAATTTATTCCTACAGATCATAATAAAGCGAACATAATTCCTAAATTTACACCTACCCCAAATTGAATATAAAATTTATTCTTGCATGCAGCATCATGTCAATTAGTTTTCTAATAAACAGTTTCTACCAAACCACTAAGCATAATGTGCAAAAGTATCTAATAACATGAAAGCATAAGTATATTTTGTTTACTTGTCTTTTCTCAATTTGAAGGTTATTCTAGTTTCACCAATCTCGAAATCAGGCCAATCCTTCAAGTGCTCATAAATTGCATAGGAGTAGAAGCCCGAGGAAGCACGCAGCATCACAAACCTAAACAAAATAGGGTATCATTGTAACAATAAATAATCCTAAGATTATAGTCAGATTGAACAAGCCTGAATCCTAAAATATATTTGCAATTGGCTTAAACTAATAAAAGCAAAAACTTTATAAGAATTCAGCAGTGACCTTTTGTCTATGTTTAGTGGAACATATTTCCCCTCAAGGGAGGGATCCCACATTCTTGTAAATGAGACCTCGACCTGCTCCTCATTGTTCACAATAACTCTAAAACTTGTACCGTTTATCCTGTATATAATTTACTTTGATCATATAACTTCAAAAGGTACTCTATTATTGTTAGAAAGAAAAGAGGGGAAATACATACACATCAAATATTCCTTTACTTCCTGGTGCACTCCAAACAAGGTCCCAATACCTACATAATCATTTAAAACCTAAATTAAATTCCTAATCTTCAAAGACAACAAAGGCCAAATGTAGTATGTTAAAGAGACAAAGAAGTCTGGCCAAAAAAAAAAGAGACAAACAAGAAGTGAGGAAGAAGAATAGAAGGAAGGCATGGAGGACAAGCGGTAGAGGGAGAAATAATAAAAGGAAGTAGAAACAGCCACCATGTACCCTCTGTTAGTTTCCTTATTGAGAGGTTCAAGCACATTATCAATCCCGTTATATCGTATTCCAGTGACAATGCCATCCGGGTTTGATAAGGTAACTTGGAGTATGCCATTATCCATCACCACCTGCACATGGAATGAAGTTGAAGCAAGCACAGAAGCAGAACATTAACATAACTGAAAAACATTCATTTTTCCTCAGAAAAAAAAAAAAAAAAAATACCAACATTACCCTTTGCTCACTTCAAGCATATCGTATTTAGCAACTTTAACCTAGAATAAGAAAAATGGATTAAGAAATTCAAAGGCTCAAAATTTACTCACATGGCCACCTTGAATATGCAGCCTCACCCCTGCAGTTGACATGGTGTTACACCCTTGTCGTCTACTGGAACTTGCTCACCACAAAAAAAAACCCAGATTTTGTGTTTCTGAAACACACAAAAGAGTTATCAGATAATCAAGAATTCTGTAACTCTGCTTCTCTCTTCTTATTATTCCCTCAAAACACCATACAAGCATACAAGGTAGGTGGGTTACTTGGTTATGTTAAATACAAGAGTTTTGTCAAAATCAGATCATGAAAAACAAGAATGAAATTACAAACTTTTACAATATTTAACCAGACGCATCAGTTTATCAAACCGTTACTTTTTGACACTAATATCATATATAATATAGAATGGTATGGTATCCCTACTTCAACTAGTGATCATTCAGTGGCATGTAATTTTAGAAAAATTATTATTATTCTTTGTTACAGTTGCACTTTATTTATATCAGCTGAAATAAATATAAAAAAATTTGAGTGAAAGGCAATAGCATTTTATTGATGTATAGGTTGAAGCATAAAAACTGTTTTCTAACATAGGGGATTAGGCGATTTCCTCTACACCTAATGGGCATTTGGTTGTCAGTCTACTGGAAATAGCCTATCTCTAAACTGCAAGTGGGAGAAAGAACCTTGCCTCCCGCCAAAAAAAAATCCCCCTAAGATTATGCCCGTAAAAACTACCTGTTACAATCCTCAAAACAAGAGTTTTGTCAAAATCAGATCATGAAAAACATGAATGAAATTACAAGCTTTTACAATAATTAACCAGACACGTCAGTTTATCAAATGAGATTCTTCCAAATAAACATGGATTATATCAAGATCAGAACTTTAAGAAATGAAGGCAACTGAGAACAATATTTTTATTTTGTTGCAATGTCTCGTTCAAGTTGATGATTACTTACAAGAGAGAGATGGGTTCCTCATGGTTGTGAGATTCCGAAGATGGCCCCGAATATGTCGTCGTCTTCTTCCCTCAATCGTCGTCGAGCAGAATAAGAGAGGCAATAATTTTAGAAAAATTATTATTATTCTTTGTTACAGTTGCACTTTATTTATATCAGCTGAAATAAATATAAAAAAAGAGATTTTCTATTTAAACCCCACACTTCTCTTAATTCACCCCATGTTCTAAGTTCACCCCATCTTTTAATTTAAATTTTCACAATTTCTAAGAAAACCCAACTATCTTCCCAAACTACCCTTAAATACACCCCAAACTGAAAAAATAAGAAATAAAAGAGATTTTCTATTTAAACCCCACAATTTTCTTTGTTCCTAGCAAAAAAAACACAAACAAATAGAACCCTAAACCCGAAATTTAATACTTTCTAGAGAAAGAGAACAACTTTACCTCTCTCCAAATAGAGGACTTTGTCCTGATCTGATCAAATTTATACTTTACCTCTGTCCTGATCCAATTTAAATACGATGTAGAGGAGTTTGTATTTTTTCTAAAACTTAATATAAAGAGTGGTGGGGTGTGTATATAGATGTACTAGGGTTAATTATTAAGTTGGATGACCTTTTTTGTCTTTTTACCCAATAATAAAACTTACAGTTTAATGATTTAAGTATTGGGGTGAACAAAGAGAAGTGCGGGGTTTAAATAGAAAATCTCTAAAAAAAATTGAGTAAAAGGCAATAGCATTTTATTGATGTATAGGTTGAAGCATAAAAACTGTTTTCTAACATAGGGGATTAGGCGATTTCCTCTACACCTAATGGGCATTTGGTTGTCACTCTACTGGAAATAGCCTATCTCTAAACTGCAAGTGGGAGAAAGAACCTTGCCTCCCGCCAAAAAAAAATCCTCATAAGATTATGCCCGTAAAAACTACCTGTTACAATCCTCAAAACAAGAGTTTTGTCAAAATCAGATTATGAAAAACATGAATGAAATTACAAGCTTTTACAATAATTAACCAGACACGTCAGTTAATCAAATGAGATTCTTCCAAATAACATGGATTATATCAAGATCAGAACTTTAAGAAATGAAGGCAACTGAGAACAATATTTTTATTTTGTTGCAATGTCTCGTTCAAGTTGATGATTACTTACAAGAGAGAGATGGGTTCCTCATGGTTGTGAGATTCCGAAGATGGCCCCGAATATGTCGTCGTCTTCTTCCCTCAATCGTCGTCGAGCAGAATAAGAGAGGCAATAGTGATTAATCCATTCAGCCTTAGTGCATGTAGTATTAAGAGCTATAAGTTCTGACTCCATTGTACTTCTTGAAATTATTGTTTGTTTCTTGGATGCCCAGGATATAGCTGCTATCTGTAATCCAATTGGCATCACTATACCCTTCTACTACACAAGGAAAACCGTTATAACATATTGATTAATCCAAAGTTCCTCTCAAATACTTGAACACTCGCTCTAAAGCATTCCAATGATCTCTACTTGGGTTATGCGTATATCTGCTCAATCTTCCTACAGCATAAGCTATATCTGCCCTAGTTTTATTTGCAATATACATCAAAGATCCAATCATTTGTGAATACTTAAGTTGCGACACAGGCTCACCATTATTTTTCTTTGAGCTCACACTAGGATCATAGGGTGTTGAAACCGGATTGCTAGTAAAATAGTTGAACTTCTTGAGCATTTTCTCAATTGAACAAGATTGATCCAAAGTAAAGCCAACTTGTGTTCTTTCTAACTTCATTCCCAAAATAATGTAGGCTTCTCCTAGATCTTTCATATCAAACTTCCTTGATAGATGGGACTTCACGTCTTTCACAGTTTTCAGATTTGTTCCAAATAATAATATATCATCAACGTAAAGACACCTCTTCCTTGATCATATTCTACTGCAATCCATTTGAACACCTATTGACATGAGCATTGGAGTGTCTTCTTGCAGGTACCTCTTCCTCACTCTTCATCGTTAAGCGAATATGTTGTCCTCCTCCTCAGTCCTCACAAGGATCACCTTTACTTTGTGGATCTTTCGGGCTTTCTTGTTACTCAGAGTAGGTTTTTTTTAATCTCAAGATTCCAAAAGTTTTCCTGCCTTTTTTGTGTTTCTTACAAGTAATCGTATCCAATTTATGCTCGATATTGTTGTAAACTTTTTATGGGTCTGAATATGGACGAGTATTCATGTGAAGGAACATGAATTCATCAAATTGTTTCAGGTCTTCAAGCTCACCCTTTCAACCCTATTGAATATTTCATTGACTTGGCCTTTAACCAACTACACGTTCTGCAGAAAATCCAATTCAGTGGATGCACCAGCGCTCCAACAATATTTTCCAGATAGCAAAACTGCTCCTGCTGCAAACGGTACACTAAGCACAGCTGCAAAGGGTTCAATACAAGTCTGTACAATTCTTTTGTAAAGGTGTGTGGAGAGCAGCCGCCTGCAAGAAGGCTCTTTTCCATTCATTACATTTTTCCATTTTTTATGAAATAGCAAACATCTCTTTCCTCTGACAATACTGGAAACTTTCTGCTCCTGTATGAAGTCTTTCACCATTAATGTAATTTGATCGAGGACTAAAGACGTAATTCGATCAGGATTCTCTATAAACAGTAATCAATCTCTTATATTTCTCCTATTGACATGCAGTTGTGACTAGTAATTCTACAAAAGGTCGCGCTTATTGCAACCAAACGGTGAGATTCATTAAAAAATATGAAACAAGCACATGGTAGCTTTGCATAATCAGTTACTGTATTATGACAGTTTCAATGGAGTTTAGTACAGTTACAGCAGTCGTACAATTTCAGAAGATTTAGGATACAGATTAAACAGAAGCGTATAGAAGATTTACATAAGCCAATGAGTATTGTCTCAGCTGCTAATGCACTACTTGATTGTCTTCCGTCTTTCTCCCAAAAAATAGAGATCCTAATAGAACAGCAATGCCTGTTAGTGCAATGGTGAATATAAGCCGTTTCCGTGAAAACTCATTCGGCTGTCTTCTTTGGGGACCTGGCCCTCTTTCAGCAGCCCTAGCATCCCTACATATTAAAATTCAAAGGATTAATACACATGACAAAGAAAGAATATCCATAATTCTTAAATTTAGGATATCTGGTCCTGGATATGTGCTCAAAAGGTTAGACAGTAGCCAAATAAATTGTAAATCAGCCTGTGCAGAAACCAGCTGCTAACCCCAAAACCCAAAATGACAAGTAACAATCATAATTATATTGGGTTTGATTGGCACTGAGGTACAGTTCAGAATTGTTAGTGATGTAACTCAACTTATGAATTCAAGTTGATTCAAGAATACAATCTGATCTAATCAGACCTTTGAAATCCCTAGCCTGAATGAAAAATCTTTCGTGAGCACTACAAGCAGAAGATGTCGCTGTACGTGGGACTTCCGGTCATACAGATTTGTGTGGCTTGCAACCCTTATGATCATGGGGTTAGACTTGGTTGAGTTCACACAAATAAACAATGTTCATAACAAAACAGTGGAGGTCACTTTTCTTTCCTTTTTTCTTTTGAAGAAAATTAGTCAGAAGGATAAAGTTGTGTGATAGTAATATAATCAGGGGTGTTAACAAAACTAGTGTTGGAACCCAAAGTGGAGCTCTAGATCATGGGAATATATGGATATGGTGCCAATTTCTGCATAAATGCATGAACTGGACACTCGGATGAATTCAACCAGGACTTATGTGCCTAAAAATGCCCAAAACTTTTAATCATGGCACAAGACATTGACTTCTCTTAAATATGGAAATTTTCCCTGACAAGGTTATATATTTCTTTGACTGCCCTAACATACCAAACCTTAGAATTACAGGTAGGCTGCTATCAATTATAAGCTAAAAGATAGCAAGACAAATTTCTCTTAGACATTCCTCATAAGATATTTCATTATACTGCACAATAATAAGTAGCTACAATTTACCAATTAATATATTAAAATGCTATATGATAGTGAACCAACCTGGAAGATGACCCGTTATTATCTGGGACACCAGTGCAGCTAATTTCATGGTTGTATCTTTCTCGCAGTCTAATGTATTTGTTACAAAGATGACAAAGTTCCGTCCGATTCCCACATACTTCCTAAAATTACAAAAAAAAAGACTGATATAACACTCAAGTTCTGATAAATATCATCTTAAGTCATCTTTTCAAAATTATTGACAAGTTTTTACCTGATGCTCAGCTAGATCAATTGCAGGCAATGGGAACTCACAGAACTCACATGTGACAATTCTTTGAGGGCAATTTTCACCTTTGTGGACAGCTAATATTTCACGTTCCATTGTCTCACTACAAAGTGAACAGGCTACCTGCTCTAATACACATGTCATTTCACATGGCAATTGTATGCAGGTACATGATATATCTACACCCAACTCAAGATAATACTAAACAAACAAAATGTGTTGGCTTAACCAATCATTTGGGGTTGATTATTAACGGCTGCTTAGTGTTTTGGGTCCTTTATGGTCTCTTTAAAAAAAGAAAAACTAAATTAAAGCAAAGAAAAACTGTGCACGGGCAAATATCTGCATATTGCGGATGCAGTAGATGAAAATATTCCATTACATATTAAAACGATCATGCTAACTAAGATAACTTGAATACTCCTTGCAAGAGGCATAACTAATAAACTGTGTTTCCACAATAATTTGAAACTTTGGTTTCAGTTTGATTGCTAAGTGAAGAAACCTTTTTCCATGCTCGTGAGGAGCTTGATACAGCATGTAGAATTTCCTTTATAATCATCATGTTTTGGTCATCCAATAATCTGTCAGACACTTACTGCCCAACAACGTCCAAGTTTATTCTTTCAATTTCCAAAATTATCATCTAAAAATAACTCAACAAAGCTCCTGAATTGATTGGGGTTGGACAAATGAATCTCTTTTGCAAACTATCCCAGTTTAAAGCTACATTCTATACAACATACTAACCATATTCACCTGTACAGGCTATATGCATGAAAGTGCTCGACATAAAATAAATACCAGTTTATTTTATGCAATACTCAAACGAAAGCATATCTATATCCTCAAATACTTCCTAGAAGCTTTGGCATAAAATAATTACCAGTTTACATATGCATTATGCTGGCATACCATTTGGATAATTTAGGTTTCTGAATGTTACAATGGTGGGGTAACAAATTCAGGGTGTATGAATGTTACGATGTTACAGGGAAAAATTCGAATTAAAATATTCAAATACAATAGAGGGACAAAAGGGTTCAATCTCAGCCCTAGTTGAATATCAACATTTTGCAGTTTTAGATGGACCTCTGCAAAAAATAGCTAACAATTGATAATACAATAGAGGGGCAAAAGGGATCCTTGACACTAAGAGAATTGCAACAATCGAATACATGCATATAAACTACATAATCATATGTAATTTCACTTTTCCAAGTGAATACTAGTAATTGCTGGAAAACTTTATGCCAAACAAAAGTAATCTAATGCTACGTTTTCACTTAAAATTAACAGGAGAGATTTCATCTTATATTACATTAACTTCGGTAGGAAGAAAAATCAAATATCGTAAACACACGTACCGGAGCATGGGTGTCCGAGTAATGTTCCTTAGCATATTTTTTTGGAACCATATCACCACAGACTTTACATTTTTCTAGATTGCGGAAGCAATGAGCAGAGTGCAAATCAATATTTGGAGAGGGGACAGCTCTGTCACTGGAAAAATACAAACAAATTATCCATTAGCACCGTATTTGTATTAGAGGAATGAAGCATGTGAATGTCTACAAGTCATCAAACATAGTAAAGAAGTTTAAGCCAGTGACCATCTAAGGGAATGTGCAAACTGATCTCTTCAAATTGAAAGAACACTAATGCTTCCATTACCAAATAACTAGAGAGCAAACAGGCCAAGGCACTAATAAACCACTCTTTTGGGGTTGCCACAATACCTAAATAAGCTGAGCTTGAGCTAGGCTTGTAGGAAAATTCACCCAACAACTATGGCAATTCAAAGGTTTGGGTATCTCACAAAATTCAAACCAAATCATAAACATAATTAACATTGGCACGCATAAACCAAAAACTGTAGATGCATACATAACCATATAGATATATTATACAGAACAGATATAATAGCAGAATTACAAGATTTGAAGACACAGATTCCCAAGAAAAATAATTACCAGTGATTGCATATTATGGTTGCTTCTTCAGATGCAACAGCCATGGCGATTCAGAAAAATTAAGCTGAAACAGAACAAGATAATTGAAATCAATAAATTAGGCAACAAATCGCACAGAATTACATAAAGAAATCAAATATTAGGAACACAAAACAAAACAAAAAAGAGAAAATTTTAAATTTACCGAAAGCTAAAACAAGCTTCTGGGTTTTGTAGACTTTTGCAATTATTATGAATTTCAGGTCGAACAAGGAAAGAACGAAAGGGAAGGGAAGAAGAGTATGAAGAGTAATGATGGGAAGGCTTCGAGTCTAACAACCTTTTTTATTATTTATTTAATAATTAGGTGAGACGTTTATAAAGACTTTTGCGCCCTCCAGATCGACGAGGTAGATTTCAGAGGAGACTCACTGGCTCAGTTGGCCAAGGTCGGTGCTGAACTGGGGTTGGACCTTCTGCCATGGGTTTGGTCACTGTAAAAAGTCTACTGGGCTGCTGCCTCCAGTCCCATTCCTTAGATGGAGGTGGGCTGGGCCTAAGCGGGCCAGGCCAGGCCGAATATAGGCCTAGATGAGCCGGGCCCTTTTATTTTGGCTTTTTATCACAAATGGTCTCTGACATTTGCGAAATTATCACTTTTCATCCCTGATTTTTTTTGTGACACTAATTATCCTTAAGGTTACCCTCCGCACATCAAAATAGTCTATGCCATTAGCTTCCATCAAATTTTCTATTAAATTGCTAACGTGACACATGTATGGAGCTCACACATCCAAGGGTATAGAATCACGTGGCTTTAAATAAAATAAAATATATTTTAAAGCTTAAAATCTATTAATAAACAAATTTAAAAAAGAGTTAATTTTTGTAGGAAATAAAAACCCAGATACATATATGGGATATGACGAATTAATTAAGTGGTTTTAAGTGATTTTATAGAGAAGAATATGGGAGGTGCTTCTCCCCATAATCACTTAAATCACTTAAAATAGTTATATAGAGAAGCACATGTCCTCATAAGTAATTTTAACATATTCAGAATCACTCACAAACAAGCCTCATAATCTTTTTTTTAAAAGGGCATAGATGAGACATTCCTAAATGGGCCTAGGCAGGCTAGGTTGAGTAGGCCCTAAATTGGCTTTGACGGGGCGGGCCGAGGGTTTCAAATTTGAAGCTCAGATCCTATCCAATTCAAGAATGAATCGGTCTAAGCGAGGTAAATAACGAACTAACCAAACTCTTACCGATCTAGCCTCGGGCTATTCACTTCGGCCCATAGGCTGCGGACCAAATGTTGATCACTAAGTGTACATCAACACCTGACGAGTAGCTATGCTTTTTCTCTACTAAAAAAAATGTAATTAATGAATTAAAATTAGTAATTTTTATCTTCGGCCTTAAAAAAGATGTACTTATTTTTAAATCCTTTTTAGTAAAAAAAATGTCGATCAGATACCAATTTGGGGGAACTTACAACTACTGTATATATAATATAATATAAGAAACTTTCCACTTCGTTATTTTCATGATCTCTGTTTTTTTTTGTTTTTTTTTAAATCTATTACCAATTAATGCTGCTTCCATGATTGGTCAGCTTGTCAATTGTTTGGTTTTCCTTGTAAATATAATATTCCTTTTGTCTAATGATATACACATCCACCAACATGTTGTTCAGCTTCATATATATAAATATGCTACTTTCTCTGTCTGGTAACAAGAAATATCCCGTACCAGTCAATGTCCTGCATGGCTAAAACCCAGTCATACCTATCCATGGAAAGCTCCAACATTTATATGCGTGCAAGAGAATGAAAGATGACCCAAAATAGGGACATCAACTTTCTTCTTCCTTTAGCTGATGATTGACACTTGTCCTACTCTCAACCGTTCGAATTATACCAGACTGCTTATTCTTTTATAAATGGATTATGGAAGACTGATTTTTATAATGCATATCCTTAATCCTATTGCTTGATTTCTTAGTACAAATCGAATCTTATTGGTTGGTCCCATCCAAAATCCTTCATGCGAGTCAGCCAATCCAAGAAACTAAGCTCAAGAAACGAGCACCAGTCTTTATGAGATTCGTAGGGGAAACAAAATATAGCATTACGGGAATTTGGATCTTTCGTCCACCAGCATGAAGGATTCTTAGCCACAGATTATTGTAATATTATCACTCATTGTTTCAAGGACCGCAACTGCTTTTGATATGACTTTATAATAGTGGAGATATAATTCGCATAGGACTCCATTGACTAGATGAAAAAGTAGGTAGTGGTCGCTCGAATTGCATAGGACTCAATCACCATTGTCCACAAAAAAGTTACTTAGGTTTGAAGATATTTGGCAAGTTCATAGAAGAAACAAAACGGATCATCTTTTTCCCATCCATCTTGAGGCCATTCTGTTTGTAAATTCCTATAAAAAGAGGAGAGCTCATAGTGTGTTAAAAGGACTAATTACAACTTAATTCCTTTACAAGCCAACTGATCTCTTTTAGCATTTTGTGGAGCAATTTTTTTCAAATGTAATATGTATTTCTCGGGCACTAAAGCCTCTAGTAATTACAATAATAAGGAGGTCCACCGCATAATGGTGGACCTTACTTATTAAAGCCTAGTGTCATGCGCTAGGCACCGAATAATAATCCATTACATGGGCCTATCGATCAACTTATGCAATTAAGAAAAATAGAAATGTTATGTGCAATCAGTCACAAGCGAGTGATAATTTCCAACCATTAATTAAAGTGAGTCTCACAATGCATCAATGACCACTCGCACATGGGATTTCCCTCAGTAGCACTCATAATAAAATTTTGTCGTTATAACAGATCGTCTGCCACTTTGTCGTTAAGTGAGATTCGAATCGTAAAGTTTTATGTTAATCTTACATACCATAAATTATCTTAGAATCTCAATCCTTTTAAAAAGCGCAACTTTTCTTAAGAATAAATCATATTGATACCATCGACAACTAGCAAGATATTCTTAATATGATGGTGGGTCACATCATATGAATGCTTGATGTCATCTGACGTCGAGATTAAAAAAATTTGGATAAAGAATAAAAAGTAAGAAATCAAGAAATAAGACGATAAGATAGAGTCAAGGAGAAAGATATTTGCAAAGAAGAGAGAAAGAGGTGTTGTAAAATTGCTATTCGAACAATCGAAATTCTCAAGCAAGAAGACTAAAATAGGTGAATGTTTCTATTGAAATGCGTACATAATTTCCTAGTTACCAAATGATCTTTACCAGGTTTAGTATGGTTGAAAGTACAAAGATATATATATACACATATTTATAGTTGACAGTGCGAAAACTTTGGAACTTGTTGTCTCAAGTGAGGGACAAAATTCACACTTGGCAGAGAGCATCAGGTAGTTCAGGTTGCTCATAGTTGTTGCCAAAAAAGAGAGGGACAAGGTCTCTCAGGTGCTTTGGTGGCAACATCAAATCAAAGTGAAGGCCATCACGCTCCTTGCCAAGCCAATTTCCTCATTTGGTAACCTTATTTTTCTGGAAAAAGTACAAAGGAAAATGTCTTTCATAAGTCTGGGGAACCAAGGCCACCACCACTACCCACTACCCACTTTCCACTTTTCTTTTTTATTTATTTTAAATAATATAAGCGTGATGGGAACAGTGGAAAATGGCGATGGGGACTCGTGATGCACGTGACCTACTCTTTTGGTTATTTTAAAGTGGCAGATGCATAGGTGATTTTCAGGATGGTCTTATGAGTATTTATCACTAGATCTGAGATTGAGTTTTCGATATATTTTGCATGTCAAACAATGTGGGAAGTTAGGAAAGGGATGAGAAAAATTCACACACACAGGTATCATGATCCACGGGAATTTGAACTTAGGATCATTTGGTAGTACACCAAAATCTGTGCTAATCCAACTAACATCCTATTAATGTGGTAAATACACTCCTAACTTTGTGTCAAATGATCAAAATATTCGATCGAATAAGAGAATTGTTATTGACACTCTAAAAAAGTCATAATGCACTTCTCGAATATAAGAAAAGTTTCAATTTAAAAGAGTATATGATGAATGTTTTGGAGCGTGAAGAACAATTATCTTTAATAATTATCAAACCCTTTTATTTTAAAGAATTGTAGGACAGCTTGGTAGGGGCTAGACTAGTATTTATTTAGTGGGAAAGTAAGACATCCTCGTTGGATACAAACAAAAAAATAGTAACAAACACCTTTGCACACCACTTCCAATTTGGCATCAAATAGGAGGAAAATTCTTATAGTGGAGTGCCATAGCGCCCACCTCTCAAATGAGTAGTGTAGGATTCTCAAACTTCACATAATGATACTTCTATTTTTTTAAATGTAACCCACTATTGCAATAATTTAAAGCTTGGAGATTGCGAATTGTAAATATTGGAATTAAAGCAACACTTGAAAATGATGGGTGGATAATATAAGTTACAATAACCCATAACACTCTTTTATTTTTATTTTTTTAACATAAATTCTTATTTTAATATATCCATTTGTAATTACATTTTCAAAGAACTTTGATTCCTATAGATCCTAACATAAATAATTACAACCAAACCCCAATAAATAATACATGAAATTCCAGTGTTCCAACGCAATTCAACGTCCTTGGGATCCTCCTCTTGTGAAGAGACACATCCTTGTCCTTGGTCAACATAATGGTGAAGTTTTATTCAAAACTTGTATACTCTGAGAGAAGATAGACAAACCTGTACCCAGTTAAAGCCGTACAGTAAAACACTGATGTATTGTAAGGTGATCCTAATTAGGAGTTTCAAAGACATCGGGGAAAAACTTATGCCTATTACGATAAACAACATCTGTCTCTTCATACCAACTGATGCCTTAATGAACTTCAGTTATTGACTTTCTTCAAAATAACGTTGACTTCGATGCCTTTTAAGGAAAACCACACTTCATTTTTGATATATTTCCCAATGTCTTTAAGGTATTTAGCATCGGTTTGTTTTTTAATAAAGTTTAGCATCAGTTTTTTTCACACATTGTAGTGTCTGACTGTTATGATCATCGTTTTGTTTTGTTTTTTTTCATATTTGTGATGCATTTTAAGAGAATTACTTCACTTCTGATATATTTTCCAATGTCTTTACAAGTAAAAACAACAGTTTGATATTATAACCTATGTTTAATTATAGTTATGAAGTACCACTTGTGTTTATTTATTTTGCAAAACGCCAAAATGGGCTGTAGCCTGTAGCTATCTCATTATGGAAAGTTCCCTTGTAAGTTGTAACCTGATGATGATAATGAGATATTTTATACATACATACATTTATAAATCCCCCTTTCTTGCTCAGAGAAAGCAAAGTGTACTAAAACACCATTACTGGATTATAAATGGGACACAACGGG